CACCTTCAACTTTACTACATTTACCCCACTTTTAGAAAAAATTCCTCGTTTAATAAACTTTAAGTCTATATTAATTAAGTTGAGGTTTATTAGGAAAAAGTTTGAAATTCACCTCAATTTGTGTTAAGAAATGATGTGATTTCCTATCCAGTTACCTTAAAGTACACCCGTTTTCTGCAAAAATGATTACAATTTACTGTTGCAAATCTTTAATTTCTTATTTTTCCGTGAGATGGATTTTAATAAACATAAGTGCCTAACAACACATTTTATTAATATTAATAAATTTTAAAAAATTAAAAATAATGATTTTTTAAATATTTTTCATGTAAAGTGGTTATGAAACTGTGCTTTTCTCCCAGATCTCCGTCATAGGGGGATTTGTCTACAGACATGGTTAGGGTTGACAACCTGAGACATATCTCAGAGACAAAAATCGCGTAACATGTTTTCTAGTGTGGACTAGGCTGAAGGATAAACTGGAGGAGGAGAGTTTGTATTAAATAAAACTTCTCAGATTCTTATCATAATTTATGTTTTAATTTGTATTTATGAATTCTATAGTTAAATTGTTTATATACTTTTTTGTAGATCTTGATGTCTACTATTAACATTTTAAATATTTCTCTCTACTTACGGGACATTTTGTATATCAATCGATTTCTTTTTTTGTGCACAATGAGAAAAATTGACTATATTAAATGTGTTGCAATATATCATAATTTATAAAAACCCAAAAGCGCTTCCTGGAAAATAGGCCAAATATTTTTGTTATGAAAAAGCATGTTAGATTCGTTTTTGTGTACTTTGAAATTCTTAAATACGATTTTTTATAGAAATTTATCACAACCTAACAGATTTATTAATTAGCAATATTTTCTCTTTTTACTTTCCTACCTATACTAGGTAAAGAAAGTATTGCAATCGGGTCAAATTTCCGATATGCGGTTTTCAACGGATCTATACGTTTCAGCGCCCCCTTAGTCCGAAAAACACATTTTTAGCAATTGGTCTGTCTGTCTGGGTCAAATTTTCTTGGGAACTACTGAACCGATTTTGTTGCTTCTTTTTTTATTTTGTAGGGTTTTGACTACTGATGTCTGTGACAGAAATTCGGTCCTCCATTCGCAATAGCTTGCACCCAATTAATGAAAAACATGTTTTTCTATAGACTGTAGCGCTAAAACGGCTCTAACGATTTTGATGAAACTTTCCTGTAATGTTCTAATAATTTTCCTTTCAATTTTCGTATGTAGACTAAATTCCCTAAAAAATTCAGGAAAAAAAGTTATGGGAAAGAAAGAAAAATGTTATGGGGCCTAACTCCCAAAGTATATATTATACGGTAAAATTTATAATAAGACTTTTAAAAGGTTATTAAATTACCAACAAAGACAAAAAATCATCGGAATCGAACCAGTATTAGCGATGATACAGCTTGTTCTATTTTTTACACATTTTTAAACTTATTACTTTCCTACCTATACTAAGTAAGGAAAGTATTGCAATCGGGTCAAATTTCCGACATGCGGTTTTCGACGGATCTAAACGTTTCAGAGCCTTCGAGTCCGAAAAAAACGCCGTTTAGACTGTAGTTTGAAAGGTAATGAAACAGAAATTATTGTTTGACAAACTAAGCTATGGCTTAGTTTCAAAAAGTTTTTGATCAGCAATATTACTGAGTATTGAAATGTTTTCACTGATCTACCTTAAGCCGGTTTACATTGCTTTAGTTTATCAAATACATCGTACTCATTGAACAATTTTCAGGAAAATAAATATTGTTCAATTCTTTTTTGTTTCTTCATGTACATATTTAAAGATGTAAAAACTTTTCTGAAAGAGGTAGGAAAGTCGTTTGAGTGGACACACCAGATATTATTTTTTTGAATAGTTTAGCTTATATTTTGTTAAGTTCTGACAATACTATTTTCGGCCATGATGAAATAATTATGATAGCTCAATTTTTCTCTTGATGTCCAATGCTGAAAAAATTAATGGTAAAAAAAAAGGTTTTTTTTTTTTTATTTTTATTTTTTATTAAAAACGTTAATAGACAACACGGTAGATCCACACTGCTTGTTGTCTCAACGTCAACACCGCTAAAATGATACGTCTTATTGATACGTGTAAAGACCATCGTGATAGGAGTGATTCTTGTCGGTCTTGTCTCTGTCATTCCTGGCTGACCTTTTTTTTTTTTTTTTTTTTTTTTTTTTGTTCTTCCCTACCTCGCCTTTTAGGCTATACGGGATTTTCCCGGGCCGGGGGGTGAGGGCGGGGAAATTATAATCCCCTCCGGCACCGGGACGCGAACTCGTACTTTTTATATCATCTCAAATCTCTGTTATCCGGTTGCCAGGCAACTAGCGGTGCTGTTACACACGCTTTAGCCTATTCGGCCACCCCGTCCCCTTATTCCTGGCTGACCGTATAGGATCCACTTAAAAGACATGCTGGAATCCAGAAGGAGCTATTACTGGAAATCGTTATGTTATAGCCCTGGAGCCAGAGCCCAAAAATCGACCTGATCGCAGGTGAAGGTTTGATTGTAAATTACGAAAGTGTATGTAATTCTGAGTAAAAAAAACCTTGTATTCCGTTCCAGAGCCGCAGATTTAAAGAATATTAGGCCAATAATATGAGGATCGAAAGGGAAAATCCATTACGAAAAATGTGAGAACAGTTTTTATTTTTTTAACTTTTATATATGGGTTTAGACAGGTAAAAAACAAAATTGCTAAAGCGGGCCACCTAGGGAAAACTTTTCACAACCAAAAAAGTCAGATTTTTTCCATATTACGGAGGGTTTTCACCTATAACTCCTAAACAATGAATCAAAGCGAAAAATGTATTCTAATTAAATAAAGAACGTTATATTTTACGTCAAACGAGTACATAAACATATATATATATATATATATATATATATATATATATATATATATATATGTATCCCAGATCTACCTATCCTTTTCTCCCTCTGAGTTATTGGTAGCATTTGCCAAGATTCAAGAAGACCTTAATCGAATCAGTGCCTGGGCAAATGTAAATGGATTAAAGTTAAATGCTGACAAAACTTAGGCCATTGTCATTGGTTCCAAGCCCCTTATTAGATCCCATACTGACTTTCCCATATTACACCTTAATGACCAGCCAATTTCCTTCTACTCTGTTAAAAATTTAGGATTTTTCATAGATCAAACCCTCTCCTGGAACTACCATTTTTCTCACATTTCCCGTAGCACAATTTCTACCCTTAAACTATTTCATCGCTTCCGCCATATCCTACCTCAACATACCCGTAGACTCCTAATTTCCTCTCTCATCTTCCCCCACTTTGACTACAGCTGTATGGTGTATGATGGCCTCTCGGTGGAGCTCCGTGATAGACTGAAAAGATTGATTAATGAATAGCTGCGTAAGATTTGTTATCGGTGCCCCGAGGTACTCCCATGTCTCTCACCACTACACTGAGTTAAAGTGGCTCTTCCCCTCCTTTAGAAGACAATATTTCCTAGGTACGTTCCTCTATCAAATTATTAACAACCATCGTCCTTTTACGCCTACAACCTTCTCCAATTCAAGTCCTCAGTCCATTCCCTTTCAACAAGATCTCGACCTTCTGACCTCTACATCCCTTCGCACAGATCTGCCTCATTTAAGAATTCCTTTATAGCTCGCGCTGTCAATTTCTGGGGACAACTTTACTAGGGATATTACAATATTTTCCGGCTCTTATGGCCACTGGCCGCATCTATTGTTTGTTTTTTTATTTTTATTTTTATTATAATTTTTTATTGGTATATAATTAAATCTGTACCTCCAGCATTTGACAATGGTGATTCTACATATTAATCATTATTTAAAGACACTGAAATTTTATATTGTCAGCTTTGTCTTTTCTTTGTTAGCAGAAACACACCTCATTTTAAAGAAGAACTCAATGTACTTTTTATTATTTTATTTTTCAAAAGAGTATAATTATAATTTTTCCTACTGTACATAGTCTTAAGTGTTTTATCATAGTTTTAAATGTTTTGTATATAGCTGGTTTAATTAATATTTTCTTTACTTTCTCTTTTTTATTATTGTTTTATTTTGGCCAGATGTAGTATTTTAATTATGTTCTATTTTGTTATTCTAAAGGGACTTTGTCCCAGAATAAAGTTATTTTCTATTTCCATTTCCATTTCTATATATTGTATTCGCAAAATTTGATGCTCTACATCTTTGACTCTATTAGTTTTTCCTCTTAGGAAACTCATTTCCAAGTTACATGGCCATTTATAGTAATTTGTCTCAGTTTTTGACTCAGCGTTGGTTGATCGTGGTTTTATACCTTACCTCGTAACCAAATTTTAAAGTTTATGTACTCGTTTGACGCAAAATTAAAGTTCTTTAATTCATTTAAGAATACATTTTTCGCTTTGATGCATCCTTTAGGAGTTATAGATGAAAAATAAAAAAAATATCGAAAAAAATTGACTTTTTTGGCTGTAAAAAGTTTTCCCTTGGTAGCCTTTTTCGCAATGGATTTCTCGTTTCGATCCTCAAATTATTGGTCTAATATTCTTTAAATCAGCCGCCATTTTTTAAAGCAGCGGCTCCGGAACGGCAGACAAGGTTTTTTTCACTCTGAGGTTTATACACTTTCGTAATTTACAATCAAACCTTTGCCTGCGATCAGGTCGATTTTTGGACCCTGGCTCCAGGGCTATATTCAATGGGGAATGGCAATGGTCCTACAGGTTAGTTTAGATTTGTTTTTCTTCCATCTGCTGCCTGGAGGGTCATCTTTTCGCAGTCCTATGTTCTATAAGGTCCCAGCTCACATAGCCCTTCGGCCCTAAGACTCTGCAGAGCTCTGGACTCCAGTCTTGGACAGCTGTTCACTAACTGCCCCTATTTAATTAGCGTGACGTATCGATTGTGAACTGCCTGCTAAAGAAGTGGGGGCCTGCTCCCACTCCCGCGTGCTCCCTCAGTGCTGTCTGTGTGCTGGTTCGGTTCTGGTGTCCTTGTCGTCCTCCGCTCGCTATCGCCCAAGCTCTTCTTCAACGGTCTCTTTGTCAGCGCATGGAGGACTTTTGGATATGGTCCGGTAAGTCTTGTCAAAGTAGGAATACTTTGTCCGCAGTTCGTAAATGTTAGTTTTATTTTATTCAGAGATCTTAATTTGCGTCAACTAAGTTTACATTTCTATACCTAGTCGTTACTCATTCTATTTGTTATATTCACAAGGTGGAAGAATATCCTATTGCTTTCCCCTGTTCATTGGCCTTCGAAAGCTCAACTTCAGCATCTAGAAGAGGTTTGCTTCCTTCAAGATCTCTTTGAGAATTATAGATTTCCAAAATGTGTATATGCACTTTTGAAAGACGACTTTTAATTTTATATACTTTATATTTTAATGTAAAGTTAAATTGTATTACTGAAAATAAAATCTGCTAAGAATATAACCTCTACACTAGTTATACAAGATGTTGCTTGTTGATCTCACAAATTTCTTATAATTTACTCTTTTATCAAATCCATATAATTCATAAAATAGACCATAATACGTAGTTCAACATTCTTAATCTTTTATTTTAATTATTAACATTTAAATTATGACAATATCTAATTAAAAAGTAATAATATACCTAGTAGCTATGTCGGAGATTTGAACTATTCTATTTATCTGTCAAGTTAACCTGTGGAATTCTCTAAGAATTCAGAACCTAGAGCGTGAGTAACGGGAAGAGCTGATAGATTCGCGAGGAACTTTAACGTCTCAGAAAAGTTTTTATTTCTCGTTCTTACTGGTTTTTTTTCTAATTACGGTTTTTCAATATAGGTTTATTGATCAAGTTTATTCTTTAGTTCTTAAAGATTTATACGCCTAAAAATGTTTGTTACTTTTTGACTTGATTGTTATGAAGCATTAGAAGAATTTTATCACTTTTTTTTTTATCTATTCCCACAATTTTATTATTAATTCTCTTTCAGAAATTATCACACTATCAAAATGGCATTCCATTCATTGCAAGTATCAAACAAAAATAAATTAATAATCTTTCTATAATTACTCCCGTAATCTTTTTTTGAAAATATTATGTCTAATTAAAAGTAAAACAGGTGAATCGTTTTCTTTTAAATAGAATCTTACAACTCATAAAGGTTTCCGAAGATTCAAATCTGGCTTGTAACGTGACGATGGAGTAATAGCCTCAAATAAATATGGTTCGTTGTGCTGTAATAATCTCTTTAATAGTCCACTTTTCTTCTTTTATCTCTGTTCTAGATCAACTGTTATAAACTAGAAATATTTCAAAAACTATAATCACTCTACAATCTCTTTTTTTGTAATAAGGAATATTATCCGATTTTATGTTTATTGTTCAAATGCAATAATATAGTTTTAAAAAACGTAGTTCATTTATACGAAATTATTTAGCTAGATGTCATCAATAGCAGTTCCTCTGGTAATATATGTTTCAAAGAATAATTTCTCATTATAAATTAATCATTATTAGGGTTAAAATAATTTTGTTTATTGAAGTATTTATTTGCCTTTGTAATACTGAAAAAACATGTAGATGAATTGTTGCAAATAATTTTCCTCTTTAGTTAAATTTTCATAATGTTGAAAGTGTGAATTATGTAAGATGCAATTATAACCGTCATAAAAAGATCTACGTATATAACAGTTTCGTTGTATATTATAAATCATCAGTTATAAAATAATCGATATCAACGATTTGAAACTTTCTTACGATTATTTACTGGCCAATCGCCCGGAGATGAGCAATTGCTGCACTGATTGCCGAATAACAAGTACTTTACTTAAATTCAATCTCTACTTCAGTTAATAGAATGGCGTCAAATAAAGTATTAATTGAATTCTTTGATACTCAAAAAAGATCAGTATTTGAATAAAATACTTGGTACTCGGTACTCAGAGCAGCATTTGCCCGTCTCTGTTTGAAACAGCTGATTTCTTTAAATAGTGTTTATTAGATAATTAAACAGCTGACTATTTGTAACTGCAACAGTTGGTAGTAATTGATGGAAATACTTGTAGTTTTTTGTTTCAATTTGAACATTTTCTTTTTTATATTATTTCCTTTCTTAATTTTATTTCTCTCTTTTCTCCAAAAGTTGTATGATTAGTTATGAGAATAAATCTGTAATTTAATTATTTGAAATTCCGTCTTTATCAGTCATTATATTTGTTATGCCATAATTATTGTTTTGATGTCCTCTGCGTTGTGATCGTTTTGCAAGATGATGCAAATTATTGCAGAAACTAGATTTAGATTTTCATTTGATTTTTTAAAAATTGTATTGCTATTTTCTTTTTTCTTTTTCCTTTTACTCTGAATCCGTTATATTTTAAAAACTTTTCATGTACGATTTCTTTAAATGTTTTTCATATTAGCACTGTCTATATACTATCTCGTACAATTACTGTTGATGTTTCCTTCAAAAAAATCTTGTCAGGAAGATATTAACATATTAATAAAAATAGGTAATAATAATAAGTAATATCAATTTTGACCTGTCGAAAAAAATATGGTCCCTGCAGCGTTTTCTTGGTGTTACTAGTAAGCAATATTTTTCAAAAATTGTTTATATTTGAAACTAATTATGCAAGAAAATCACCTAATCAAAGTCAGGACACCAGTATTATTTATGGAAGCGAGTCCCGGACAATTTTAACTAGGTGATAAACAAAAAATGATTCGATAAATCTTTGACGAACGAAGACAAACTGTTTATTACAGAGCTGAGGAACTTATGGAAAAAAAAACAAAAACAATTTTAATTCACCCATAAAGAGGGTCAGAATAAGATGGTTATAATACAATGAAGGGAACGCTAAAATGATAACGGATGAAATCAGAGTGAAAAATGAGAGGCATACATAGAGTTCATCGGCTGCAAGATTCTGAGGACGAGAATCAGGGGTGCCCATCCCCCCAAGGTCAATGGCGCATGACCCTTCTTCTCCTCCTAAGATATTTTATTTCTCTTCTCTTCTTAAAAACAATGCAATCTTAATTAAAATTTAAAAAATCATAGATAATATACAATTATACTTTCAGTGGTCTGTACTATGCTTTTTTCGTGTCCTCTGGTTTGAAACTTTCCACGCCGAAAATTCATAACACCGTCGAAATGTACCACCCTCTCCTCAAAAATTCAAACCCCGTCAAAATGTGTGCCCCCCCTCAAAAATATTGATGGCGAGATATGCGCCCTGAACTCCCTTCTGGACACCCCTGACGAGACTTGTTATTGGAGGGTGGAGAAGAGCGTCCTCTCGACGAAATGAATCTCTACCTGCCCAGTCTGGTTAGAATAGGTTCGGTTGTTCTAGAACAATCCTTCCTCTCTTCCTCTTAATATACATTTTAAACTAAATATTTTTATTTTGAGGCGGCAGGCTGAAAGAAAAATGGAAATTTATTTCATGGGTGAAAGTTGTGAAGCTGTAATCACGATTCTCAGCTAAAAAAGTATAAGATATCCAAAGTTATGAGCTAGGCATTGGCAGCTGATGACTCTTTGACGCTAATTATCTTTGCAAGTATGCATAAATTCTGGGCTTGCATTTTAATTGTCCAATTACAATTCCATGGGTATCCAATTCCATTTTTATAGATAAACTTAAGAACATTAAAAAAAGATAGCTGCTATGTGCAGATTTTGGTCTATCCTACTCTGAAGCACATGAAATAAATGAAATAAATTCGATGTTTCAGTTTTATATGGATATATTTAGAAAAGATCATTTTTTAAGAAATGAGATATCAATATCAAGATTGCGGATTTGTCTTTTTATATTTTATTTGCGAATTGCGAACTATATACTACTAACAATGTATTTTAAAAAATCTATAAATCTAATCTGTTGCATTTTAATAGCGTTTAAGGGCAAAGGTTAGAATAAACGCCGAGGAGGATTCATTATTTATTAGCTTTTACATTATTCAAGAGTACCTGTTGATAATGGCCTTAGTGTGTGCGAATAATAACGCCCTTATGGGGCACCCTTTTCCTATTCATATAATTTTTACTTTCACTTTCCTACTTATGAAGTGAAAATTTCGAACCCGGGTTTTCAATGGAAATTAAACTTTTAAGCTACCCTGATTCCAAATAACAATCAGCAAGCCTAACTCAAAAGGTAAAGTTGTAAAGTAAGAGCTCGTATATACTTAGGATGTTTTTAACTTTGAATGACTTTTTAAAAATGTTATTTATGATTTTGTTATTTATGAAACTTGTTATATTAATTTAAAATTGGAGAATCAGAAAGTGCGAACTATGATGTATAAACTGTGATATTTTCACATGTCGAAAACAAATTTCCTTGAATAAATAATAATATGTATACTATTAGGAAGCTAAATAGTTTAGAAAAAAATATATTTAAATTGTACAGTCATAGGTGGATAGTGATGAAAAAGTATAAATTTTACGGATTGTACGTTTCCTCACCTATATTGATGTTTAACACCGAAGACGTCAAATCAGACGTAACGAGGACTGCTCATATTTTTTAATTGAGCAGCAACTACTTATGAAAACGAACCAAATAAAATTATTTAATAAAAAAATTACAGGATTCGGTGGCAAATCTTAATTTTTTATTTTTAAAACCATCGACGTATAGAAATATACATTTCTACTACACCTATGGTGTGGTAAGTGGAAGTAAAGCTATGCGCTAACCGTAGTTTTTTGTTTTGATTATTTACAACCACAAACAAACCATCATGAAAAAATAATTTGTTTTCTATATCAATATCACTGCTTGTTTATCTGTTTTCCGTACTTAGTGAATGACCTGATAAAATGTTATTTTATTTTTCTATAATTAGACTTTAATTTTATTTTTCCTTCCTCACTACCGAGGGTAGGAAAGCATTGTATTCGTGCGAGAGGTGAAACAAAAATATCTGCTCAGAAATTTCCATTTCTTGTTTCCAATCCGAAAATTTCTACTCGCTTTTTAAGTTTCAGACATCAAGGATCAAATTTGGTTCGGTCTGTCTGTCTGTAGTCAAATCGATGTAACGGGCATATCACTTACTATCGTTTATCCGATTATCA